GCAGCTCTGGGCCTGACATGGACATGGGTCTCCTCCGCCTCACACATTAGGAGGCAAGAGAGACGCACCGGGCAGGTGTAGTCTCACTCCTAGTGACCTGTCAGTGGTCATGGGCCACAGGGTGGAGCAATGGGAGCAGCCCTGATTGTAAGGGGGAAAATACTGAACAGAAGACGACCTCTGCTCAAATACAGCAAAAAAGCCTGCCAGTCTGGGAGCCAAAAGCAGCACTGGGAGTGCAGCTGGGTATTGAGAAAGCAGAGAAATCCTGAGATACCATCAATGCAAGGTGCAAAACCAAGGAACTGTAACAGCAATCTATCTAGTAGAAAGCTGAAAAAAAAAAGGCTGGAGAAGGAGGAAACCATCCAGAGAAATGAAGAGTTGGTAACTGCCATCGTCCGTTCTAACTGATAGAAGAGAAAAAACAGTCGGGAAATACAAACATTGCTCTGAGAGAATAGAAAATACCATCATTTATTGACTGTGCCAGGTGAAAACAGTTGTTAGCAGAGTCTATTGGCTGCTCCAAGTGGCAGTGTCCTATTCCTCGTTATGTCTCTGCGGCATAAAAAGGACTTAATTCTACCCCAAAATGGAGCATCTTTCTCTGATGCATCCCAGTGTGCACAAACAGCTGTTCCCCATGATACATCCCTCACCAGGGATGCCAGGCTGACTCCAGGCTCTGTGATGCGGATCATTGTCCAAGTGAGACTTTGTCCATTGTCAATTGGCCCCACTTCTGGGATGGGTTTGATGAGCACTTGGTACCAGCAAAATTTTACATATATGTGTGTATATATAGATGTATATATATGTATATACATATATGTATACACATATACATACACAGTGGCATACACACACACACACACACACATATAAAGGCATAGAAGCATTTAGGTTGGAAAAGACCTTCAAATTCATTAGTATATATTTTTAGTCTGTGCTGCCATCCAATAACCCTGGGAGCTGAACACACAAGAGGAGGGTTGCTGCCTTTCTGAGCACCCTGTCTGTTTTTGAAATACCTCGGAAGTTAAACACGACCTCTTCACTCCAGGAAAGAAAGATTTAGACTAGAATCATAAAATCATAAAATCACTTAGGTTGAAGAAAATCCTTAGGATCATTGAATCCCAGTGTTAACCCAGCACTGACAAGTCCACCACTAAGCCATGTCCCTAAGTACCTCATCTACTTGCCTTTTAAATACCTCCGGGGTTGTTGACTCCACCACTTCTCTGGGCAGCCTGTTCCAATGCTTGACAACCCTTTCAGTGAAGAAATTTTTCCTACTATTCAATCTAAACCTCCCTATGGAAGTATACTGTTGGTATATTGTATATAGAAGTATTTAGACTACTTCTAAAAATTACCTTGGCACAATTTGAGAACATTTCCTCTTGCATTAAATAATAATTACTGATAAGTATATTTGCTGCTTTACTAGTGGTAATTTTATCGTGACTTGTAAAACTGAAATATAAAATTGCTACTAATATTCATTACTGCTAATATTGATTTCTGCTGCTGTTGATTTGCTTGTGATGGTTTTGGCTGGGATAGAGTTAATTTTCTTAATAGCAGCTAGTATGATTTTGATTTTTGCTGGAAACAGTGTTGATAATACAGAGATGTTTTATTTACTGCTGAGCAGTGCTTGCACAGAGTCAAGGCCGCTTCGGCTCCTCACCCCACCAACGAGGAGGCTGGGAGTGCACAAGGAGTTGGAAAGGGACACAGCTGGGACAACTGATCCCAACTGACCACAGGGATATCCTAGACTATTTGGTGTCGTACTCAGCACACAGAGCTGGGGGAAGAAGAAGGAAGGGGGAGGATGTTCAGAGTCATGGCATTTATCTTCCTAAGGCACCATCACCGTGAATGAACTCAGCTTTCCTGGGGTTGGCTGCACACGTGCCTGCCACACTCTGAAGGAATGAATTCCTTGTTTTGCTTTGCTTGTGTTCAGCTTTTGCTTTGCTTATTGAACTGCCTTTGTCTCAACCCACAAGTTTTCTCACTTTTCTGGTTCTCTCCCCTATCCCACTGCAGGGGAGTGAGTGGCTGCATGGTGCTTAGTTGTCTGCTGGGGTTAAACCACAACAGCCTTATAACTGTAGCAGTTTGTATTATAGATATACCTGTTTTGCTAATCATAAGTATGCTTGCCTTGATAGTTGTGACTTGTAGTAAAATGCAATAAAGTAATTTAGGAAATAAAGACTCTGTGTCCTTGTGCATGACAGGGTCCTGCAAACCCACAGTTTCAGCCTTTGCCCACCCACAGGCTGGGTGAGCCTGGGTCGTGTCAGCTGAATGGAGAGGTTTCTGACAGGCTCTGTCTAATGAACACCAGCATAAACTAGAGGGCATGAATAAAGGATGAAATAAACTGCTGGGTCTCTGCTGTATTGTTTTAACTTTTGGCAGTCTGGCAGTAAAGAGGAGGCAGAAGAACAACAGTCAATTCCAGTTCGGCATGTACTCAGTTATGGAGATGATGCTGAGATACAAGGGCCAGGAGATGCTACTGGGCTGCAGATGTAGTGAGTTACCTCACCTTGGTATTTCCTGTCACGCATCTTAGTGATTCCCTTCTCAATACAGTAGCTCCTTCGCTTTCCGTGTGGCTGGAGAAATCCAAGGTTAAACAGGTGCAAGAGTGTGCAGAATTCATCTTCCAGAGCTCATGCTCTGCCTTCAGCTATTGAGCACCTTAGTCCACCATAAAAGGCAAGAGGATGCAGGAGGGCATGTCTCACTCAGGCTTGTGTAACAGTGAAGGGTTACACTGCATCTCCACAATTAACAAAGTAATGCTGCCATTGGCCTTGACTTTTCCTAAGGAATGGTGTTCTCTCCTCCCCCAGAAACACCAGCAGCGCAGGGAAAAGGCATTGTGAGCCCCAGGCCCAGTGGCCCTGCGGCAGCAGACTCCAGCTGTGGCTGGGGAAACAGGAGGAGCTGATGTTGCAATGGCATCTGGATTCCAGCTTGGCTAGACAAGCACTGACATTTTTCCATCACATTTGACCTGCTGATGCGTTTTGCTGGAGTTTTCACTATGGAATGCTAGCTGTGGTCAGGCTGTGTGTATTTACAGACACAAATAAACTGCTGCTGACTAAAATACACCATTCTCATGACTGTGCTTGGCACTACACTTGCAGGGGTAAAGGCAGATCTGCTTACACCATCATGCAAAGCCTTAGCATCACTTCCTTCTAATTTTTCAGATGTAACCTTGTGGATAAGCTAAATTTGGTGGGGACGGATGGGGGCTGCTCTGCACTACCCACTGCAGTGCCACAGGCAGCAGGATGCTCTTCACTGACAGCACCAACTATTCCCTTCTTTTTCTATACTGGTTTGGGAGCCTGGCCTGTGGCACCCCTTCCTTGTTTACTTGCTCCCACATTGTTCCCTGCCCACTCTGCAGACCAGTCTGCTTTACAGCAGAGCATCCTTGTGCAGGGGAAGGAGGGCACTTGCAGTCCCATCCCCAAGCCTTTTCTCTGCTCTTTTCCACTCTCCCTGCCCAAACCACCCCTTAGCAATGAGTCAAATCTTGGCTCCCGACAACTGCCTGGATTGCGCAGTGTCTCGATACTAACCCAGTGTTGTGGGAAATGCCATAGCACAAAGGTAATCTGCTAGGGTGCAAGGGAAAGGGTGGCAGGGGGGCACTGCCCATGCCTTTCCTTTCAGAGTGCAAAGTGGTGGATTTATTTTTAAAGTGCTTGGTCCCTTATAAGTTGAATGCAGCAAAACTGTATTCACAGTGTTTGCTGCTTTGGGTAGCACAGCTGGTTTAAAGCATTCCTGTCCTTCCTTTCTCTCCACTTTTCTTCCTGCTCCCCCTTTCCCTGCCTGGGGCAGTATGGCTTGTGTGAGGCAGTCACATGAACCATGCTAAAACTTGCTCTGTCTACTCATGATGACTATTTTTTGACTATTTCCTATTTTTAATTTTGTGATAGTGATGAAATCTGTCTTGCCAGCCTGGCACTAGGCAGTGGGTTAGTCACAAAACCCAAATGCTCCTTCCCCGTTGTGGCAGCATTAGTCCCAGGTACACAATGGGACAATGTGTACAATGTCTCAGCCTGCAAATGTGTCAATACACAATGTCTCAGCCTGCAAACTTAAGCCTAGACCTCAATATTGTGTAGGAAACATGGAGCTCTGAATAGCTGCTCCTCTGCAGTGCTCAGGCCTGTCCTGATGCTTGTGCTATTGTGGAGAGGAGGCAGGACAGCTCCCAGCCCACCCCCAGTGGGTGGCAAAAAGCCAAAGGCAAAGGCAGCACCAGCATCTAACCAAAGCCTGCCCTTGCACCCTCTACCCCTGCTGGGGTAGATTTAGTGGAATCAAGTGGGAAGACAGGGTACAGACTTCATTTGCTTGAGGTTTTGGGGTTTTTACCCTACCTGATCAGTGCCGATGCTGCCAATGTGCCACTTGCTGCCCTCCTCAAAATCCCCATTCCAAGATATTTCTAGTCTGGTCTGCTACATTTCTTCAGTGCTGCTAATAGGAGGAGGGGGAACCATAAAATTCTTGAAGGGGAGCTGTTTATACTGAACAAATAAGAGCTTCTGTTTATAGAGGCAAAAACACATTAAAAAAAAAATCCGGAAGGATGGGCCCGTGGCCCTTTTCCAGTGAGAAGAGCAAGTCAAAACAATGAACACCATTTGTTTTTGCTTTTCCCTGGCAAGCTTCCTTCAGCTGACTATTGCATGATCTGCTCAGGGTGAAGAGCCAAAAAAAAAGAAATTTAAAAAAAAGAAGGAAAAAAACCCCAGGCAGTAGCAATTGCTCCAGCTTTTTTCTCCTGTGGCGGCTCCAGCCCCGCTGCTGTCTGTGTGGGTTTAAAGCTGCAGCTGTCAGCATGGTAACCCAAACCCCAGCTCCAGAGGAAAACACATGGGACTGGGGGAACGGTTTGGGTGGGGGAAAAGAAACTAAAAAAACAAAGCAAAATGTATGCTGTAAAGCAAAAACACTGTGTTTTATTCAGCTCCCTTTCCAACCAAAAGCTCAGGGCTCTCTTGCTTTTCCAGCTGGGCTCCACTGGACCCCACAGCAATAGTCTTCTGGTAAAAAGTCTGAGGTCTGGATGAGCTGCTGTGTGCTCCCAGTTGCCCTCCTGCAGGCACCCAGGCCGGATGCCTGCTTGCACACTCCAAGGGATGGGTGTTTAATTTAGTTTCCTCAGCCTAAACTCCCATTTCCCTTGAGCTCCCACCAGTTTCCCATCTGTTTAACACCACCAGCTCAGAGCAGGAGCTCCTTGAAGCACTCCCCATCCTGGGTCAACACCAGGGTATTAAATCAACATAACTTCCGCAGCAGTCCCTGTGACTCCACCTCCTATTTTTATAGCTATGCTTTGACTGATAAGGCTCTATTAATAAATCAATCAGGCAGTACCACTCCTGCTTGCAGTAGCAAGCCCCATTTTTCGTGGGGGGCTCAGCAAGGAAACAATGAACTCTCCTCACAGCCGTCATATATGCACAATAGTTTTATTTTGTTTTTTATATAAAAAAAAAATCCTAAAAACTGCAGAACATTTGTATCCTAATTTCTTACACAAATTCTTCCAACACCTTCCTCTTTTTAAGCTAATTCCCCCCTAAGAACTTGTGATGGCGTGGGTTCCCGTGATTTTTGATCTAGTCACCCCTTCTAACGGGATATGTCTAAAGCTGCAATATGGCACCTGGTTGACTTAGTTGGCAGGTTTAATAAATCCAGAAAGCTGGGGTATGGAGTCACACACGGCTCAGAGTCCATCAGCACAGGCAGGGAGCCTGCCTCCACGTCCATGCCTCCAGAATGAACCAGACCTTTCTCCTTACTGTGCAAATAACAGGCTTTGGTCATCGACCAGTCCTGTCGTAAGGGATTCTCATACCTGAAGAGGATCCCATCTTCAAGTGGGGAAGCAGCACATACAGTCAAGCAATTGTCCACAGCAGTGCCAGGCACTCAGACCTCATCAGTCAACTGTACCGTTGTAAGACTTATTGAGCTTGTTGAACGTGAACTCTACGTTATGTGTGGAAATTGGCTTTCGGTAGAGAGGGTTGGATGCCTTTGGAGAAAGGAGCAAAGAGAACAAAGGTGAGGAACAAAGTCTGTGTCATGGTGAAAATGTGTCAATTAGTTTGGAGATAGCACTGTGTTTAGTTTTGAGTGAATTGAGCATTCAGATCCAAACTGCAGTGTTGTTTATCCAGAGATGGTCCATCAGACACACCTTCCATCCTGCCTGCAGGCAGAGGTGATGCCCTCAAATGCTGATCAACCCCACCCAAAGCCTCCCAGAAGGACCCCCTTGGAGACCTGACCAATCTGGCTGCCACCACAGCTGAGGTGTGGTCCTTTCTCCCCTACCCCCTTCAGCCTCAAGCTCTGCTGGGAAATAGATGATGAAAGCAGGGGCTGGGTATAATTTTGCAGAGCATTTGTAACTTGCCAAGGGGAAGGCAGTGTGACATGCTGGACCCTGAAATGTGCTGCAAGGCACTGCAGGGCATGGCACCTGCATCTCTTGTTCCTGCCACCCTTCTCCACCACTGCAGAGCTGTTTGCTGCCAGCACATCCCAACAGCACCCCCATGTATCAGCAGCACCCCTGCCCCAGACTCACCATTTCATATCTGGCCCGGGAGCGTTCGCTCTGGAATCGGTCGAACTCCCGTCTGTCGTGAATAGTGACGAGCAGCTTCCAGAGTGCCAGCAAGATGATGCCAATCAGCACCACACTGCCAATCACTGCCAGCACGATCGTCACAGCGCTGGGGGCTGAGCTGCAGGCTGGTCATGAGGGAGAAAAGGTAATTAGCTCCAGTATGAGTGTAGCCTGTATCTGGGTCCTGGAACATAATAATCTGGACTGCAGCCACTATGCGAGTGAACTCAGGGCAGCACTAGCAGCAGTGACTGAATTAAAAAAAGCAACTGTCCCCTCTGAAATCAAAGTGTTTTGTTTTTTTTTTTATTATTAAATAAATGCCTTGCTAGAGGCAGGTCAAAGGGACAGCTCTCATGCATGTCACCAGAGCTGGGATGTCACGTAGCACTCCAGGGGAAGAGTAGGGCTGCAGTGCCACTGTCCAACAGTGACGCAGAGTTTTAATGCCAGGTGACCCATGTGGGACGCAGAGCATTAAGGTGCCTCTGGCAAAAGCCAGCTCAGCCTTTGGCCCACAGGGACACAGGTGATCTCTAAGGACTTTAAGTAAGTACATTAACTGTCAGCTAATCAACTAGTCTTTCAATTAAGTGCAAGCTGCAGCACAAATTAAATAAAACATAAGGAATCTCAGTCTTTCCCATATTGGCCTGTGCCTCAGAGGACCAGAGCAGATCACAAGAAGCTACTGCTGGATGCTTGCCAGCTTGTCCTAAAACCCCATGAGGAGTCTTCTTTGAGCAACTGCATCGCATGTGATTAAAATAACGCTGGGAAGCACAGCTGTCTGTGCAGTCTGGGGAAGGGAGCAGGGACGCACAGCCCTTACACTGCCTGGATAGGAGCTAGCTCTTAGGCAATGTAGAAATCCTTAGTTGGTACAGGGATTTCCTAACATCCTGACTTAACCAGCAGCAGCACCAGGTGTCCCCTTCTGATGTTTTTGTTCCTGGGGGCTGTATCCCCAAATCAGGCATGCTTTTTGCTACTTAAATAGGCTCTATTTATTTTAATTCAGTATCCTAAGTTGGCAGAAAACCCTTCAACCATTTGCTAGCAATGCTGGCAGCTCAGGTGCATGTTTTACTTGGAGTCCTTTTTTGACTAAGTTGGGAGCATTTGTAGTTGGGTTTCAGCACTATAAAACACTTCAGTTTAAATCATCCCAGTTTATCTGCTCACACACACAGCCAGTGAAACCAGCCTTGCTGCAACTCACTGGGCTGCAGCCCATCACCTCTCCTGAGGCAGCCTCTGCTGTTAAAAAGGAAACCAAAGGAGGGCCAACCTGGCTCTTTGAGGACGGTGAGGTTGGATTTCCCACTGGGAAGCTCCAAGTAGGTGAACTTCATGACGCAGTTGTTCACCGGGTAGGCGCAGAGGATCGCGCTCGGGTCATCCGTTTCTGGAACAAGACGCAGAGTCACAGAATTTTATTTGGGGAGCAGGCCTGGAAAGCAGCACACTTTGATCACGACTCATGCAAATCGTAACTGAGCAGTGTCCAGATTTACTGCTTGAAAAAATGTGGCACTTGGCAAATGTCCCATGGCAAACAGACTCAACCTCTCTCACACACACTTTTCCTTCACACAAGTCTGCTTTGGCAATAAATGCTGTTTTCTTCTTAATTTGCTAAATTTCTTGAAGAGTGGAAGGTGAAGAGAAAACAAGGGGCACAGACTCAGATGGGGCCAGCAGCAGCAGCCCATGGCCAGCTCATGCTCCTCCAGCTGTGCTGAGTGGCTCCAGCTCCGGAAATGGCTGCGAAGTTTGTTTTTAAAGAGTGAGATAGAAGAGGAAAATGTGAAAAGGGAGGAGAGGGGGAGGAAGGGAGGGGGAAGGGAGGAGTTGGTTGGAAAGATGATGTGTAGATGGGTCACAAGAAATAAGAGGACTTTCATACAGGTACTGTGTGTTTGCCTGTCTAACATACCACCAGGCAGAGCCTGTTGCTGCTCTGGTCAGTCTAAGATGCTCCCTGAGGAAGCCTGCTTCACAGAAGCAATTTAAGATTCAGCAAAGCCATCACCTGAGGTTTGCAGCTCTGTCTTCAGGTGTGATTTCAGTAAAGCCACTGCTCAGCGTGGCCACAGCTTGTCAGGTGTCCCCATTGCAGGGACAGTGACTGGAGGGAGATGGGGCAGCATCTTGGGCCATGAGAGGTAGCTCTGCTGAGGACATCTCTGCAGGCCTGCATGGGCTGAGCGTGTCAAGGGAGAGGAAGGGATTTAGGGACCCAGTGCTATTGGCTGACAAAGACACGACCTTGCCTTAGGCACCTGGAAAATGCTTCCCACAGCTCTCCTCCTCACTCCTATCTGTGCCTGTCTGTCACGCTGAAAAATGATCGCATTAATGACCACTGCTACTCCAGCCCCTTAGCCTTCTCCTGTCTGTTTGTTTTTCCTTTCAGTGCCTTTGACCTGCATACAGTTTAAAGATTAATACCCTACATTTCAACAGCTGAGCCCAGATGCAGCCACCCCTCTGGTGACTTGTGACGAGTTCCTGGTGTGGACAAACCTCAGCTGTTCCTACCCTGGGACACGAAAACTTGCTCTACCTACACAGTGGTAGCAAAGGCAGGGCTGGAGAAGTGCTGATTGTTACAAAGTAAAGTACTAATTAGATTAATATAGATAAAACTTCCATGTTTCTTGACTAACGCCCTTCTAAGTTGAGCAGCAAACCTTAGTTCCTCCAGGCCTAGCTGCTTTCACTCCGATCCTTGCACCGCTATTCTGCTAAAAGAGACAGGGATTAAAGTCTCAATGGTAATTATCTCTGTTGGTCTTCACTAGGTTTCAGAGATCACATGTCCACATAGAGAGGTGTGAGGGCCCCACTGAGTTTTCAGGTCCACTGATGTGTGCTGTTGCCAGGTTCAGCTCATGCTCCTCTTGTGTTTAGACTTCCTCTCTAGAACCACTAGGAATGCAAATGAGATATTGCAGAAGCGAAGGAGATCCTGTAGAGTCCAAAGCAAGTCATACAAGCCTCCCACAAGGCAGCATTCTGGCTTATGAGTCCAATGATTGATGCCTCTGCCATACAAAGCTTTGAAGAACTGGCTGCTTCATACTCAGAGTCAAAAGGCACTTGGGATGCTCCAGGGTGTGCTCATTGTAATTTGATATTTAAGGAAGTCCCATCCTCCTCTGCCAGGGTACTGCAGATCTATGTATTGTGTGACAAATATCAGCATTCAGCCTCTCAGTAGGGACTTATAATACGTGCTGAATAATACAGAAGTGCTTGAAAACCAGGATTTGGCAAAGTCCGCCTGTAAGGAAGTCCATAGTACCCAAGAGCTTTCTTGAGGAATATTTTGCTTTATCTCTTCCTCTAGCAGCCCAGATCTCCAAGCACCACGTGCAATCCAACTGTAATAGTTCAACAAAAGCATAAGCATAATTCCCCAAAATGTCTTAAAATAGAAATTTGGCTGTGTTTTTCCCTGAAAGCCATGCAGGGGGTTTGCAAACCATAGCCCAGCCTCACCTTCCAGGGCATAGTCAGCACAAAAGCTGGCTTTGGTGTGGTACAATAACCAGGCAGGAGGGATGAGCTTTAACCCCCAGTATTTGCTGGCTCCTAAGAAACACGGGCCAGCCAGGCACCAGTGTGGTGGGGGGAAACAGTTTTCCCCCTGAAGTTCTAAAATGGTAAATCCATGACAACCAGAAAGAAGCTTTGTATAGTTTGGACTTCCACACCTCTCACAGTGTGCAGGTGTAGGTGCCCTCCTGGCTGAACTGCAGGGAGAATGGAGAGAACAAGAGCAGGTGTCCCAAACAAAATGGTAGGAAACCTCACTGGTCATAATTTAAAAGCTAGAAACTGGACGTAAGAGGAAAATGGGAAAAACATCATCTGCAGGCAACTCAGGGGGAAAGGAGTGAAAAGGCGAGCAAGGTAGGGCACTCCTACCTCTATAAAGTATGGGAAGAGAAGGAAATGTCAGATGCAGACAGTAATTTATCCCTGATTGATCTACAACCCTCTCTCCAAGGCGTATGGCTAAGGACAAGGTCAGGATTGTGATTAACGCTGTCACAAGTTTGGATCGCCTCTACTCCTCCAAATAGCAACCAGGGACTCCCAGAATGTATCTTGAAAAGAAGGGGGAGAAAGTAATCTGCTGAGAGATGCACACATGGGGTGACCTCTAGAAGAGTGCACAAAGGGCAAGAGAGGACCTTGCCAGGGTGGCTTGTAGCAGTCAGGTCTCCCAAAGCAGAACTCGTTTCCAAAACAGCTTTGCTTTTCCTTACAAGCTCACTTCTTCCAAGATGAATTCCTTTTGTACTCTCTCATGGCTCATCTCTTCTTCCGTCTCATCTGACCTCATTCCACTCCCTTTGCTCCTTGCACTGGTGGTAGTGGTTAGATGTGGTAAGATGTTATTTAAGATCAAAGAGTTTTTTACTTCATTATATAGTATAGCCCAGAGAGAGAGCAACACATACCACATATACACATATACATACTACCTGCACATATACATTTCTAAATACTAGGTATTCCCTGAGGGTTTCTTTACAGATGTCTGGTTAAGAGGAGCTCAATGCCACAGTCACTGGCTCCCACTGCCTGCAGTCCTGCTGCTGCCAACTTACCGAGAACATCCACAGTGGTGATGATCTCGTCCTTGCAGTGCTTTTGGCAGGTTTGGTTATCAGCCAGTCTTCCTGAGTTAAACAGCTTGCATTCAATGCAGTCCCTGCAGGAACACACATAGAGGGGAAGATTAAGCACCCACAAGAAACTGTATGAACACAGAGATTCAGCCCTTGGAAAGGGACTCCCAGAGTGCTGGTCTTGAGGCTGCACATCTAAACCACAAGGAAAGAGCAACTTCAGGGCCAAGCATCTCCATCTCAATGATGGATTTATTCTAGAGGTGGATTCGATTAAGGTGTAAAACAACTGGGAGGTTTGGGGTATTTTTGCCCTTTGGATGTCTGGAGCTGCATGTCAGCTACTGCATAATCCTGCCTGAGATCAAGGCAGGCAGCACTGCTCTGTACTAGTCTGAGGCTGATGCCCAGGCCACCTCCATTGCTGTGAGGCCCCATCCTCCCCTCCTCTGCAGCTCACAGCTCTCTGGACCCAGACATTTGCAGCTCAGAGTGCAGCCAAACTGTAGTTGCCAACCTTTCCCAAAGAGTGGGACAGCACTGGAAATGAATAGGGACATGAACCTCCGTGAGGACTGGAGCAGCAACACTTGTTGCTTCTTCCCACCCACAAGAAGACCCTCCTGAAATGCCCGTGAGTACCTTTTAGTGCTACAGACACCTGGGCAGGTGGGACACTTCTCACACGTTTCTCCAAAAGCCCCTGGCTCGGTGCACTGACACTTCCCACAGACGCAGGCGCCCCTGCCGCTGCACATCTGGCCATCACTGGAAACACAGCTGTCCATCTCGGTAGAGCAGTTGCAGTTGTCCCCGATGTAACCAGCGTGGCACTTGCATTCCCCACAGTGACACTCTCCATGACCTGAAGGCAAGAGCAGGGGAGAGGCATCAGCAGCATTCGGGGCCAGCGATGGGTGCTGCGGCTGCCCCTATGCAGGAGGGATCAGCAGCCCAGCAGGAAGAGCTGCCAGAGAGACCTTATTTGGCAGAGCAACAAACAGATGGTGATGGGAAACACCGAGATATCAAATTAATATCTACATTTAGCAGCAAAAAATACCTAGTCACTGATCTCCCAGCTTCCCTCTACAGTTGCTCAAGACAAATGGGCACATCTCCCTTCCTACTTTTGTATGAATTAATCTCTTCTTTCTCTGTCTACATCAAGAGATATGAAGATGGAAATGGAGTAGTGCTTCCTTGCTGGTTTTGAACACAGAGTTTAGCAGCAAAAAGCCTAGCAGGTTGCCCACTTCATAAAGTCTTTCCTACCCTTCTTTCCTAACAGTTTTACTTAAGAAGTTCTCACAAAAACCTGGAAAAAAAAATTAAATCAACAAGCACTGTCTTCTGTGTCCAAATAGGACCTTTGTGTCCCAGCCAGAAACATGAAGGTTGCTGGGACCAGCTGAACCCCCTCAGGGAGTAGCTCAGGGCTGCTCACAGCACAGATGGATGAAGAAACCAACTGAGTGAAGGCACTCCTCTACTGACACATCCCCTTGCAGCTATGGGGTTTAGCAATGGGCTGAGAAAGTCAATAGGCTCCAAGGCTTTCAGTGACAGTAAGAGCAGTGGCTGGCTGCCGAGCAGCTGGTTTCAGAGAGGCATCCATCAGCTTGCTGGAGAGACTGCTTGAAATCCTCCTCGGTCAGTCCCTAGGAGAAGGGATGCCTTTGAAGACACAGTTCATAGAGCTGAAGGGTTTGTATATGAGGCTCATCAGCAACCTCATTACAGCTCAGCTTTCCCACTGGAAACAGCCTGAAGCACCCCAGACATGATAAATTATATACACACTCCTTTCATCGACACAAAACCACTGATCTCCCTGCCTCTCTCATCGCGCCAAGATTATGAGAGAGGCTGTGGACTGTCAAGCTATATCCCTTGCCAAAAGTCACGGGAGCACCTTCTGTTTTACTAGGCATCTCATATGTCCCAGAACATCACAAGTTGCCCTCCTACAGCCTCTTTTGCACTCCCACCGTTTGCTTTGGATCCAGCCTGAAAATTCAAACATTACCAGACAGAGGAGATTATGTTTACAAGATCTCTAGAGGTGACCTCCTTCCCTGCCTACATCTGATGGAGATTAAAATCCTTTGCTCTGTTTGCCTTCATGGTGACAGCCTTGCCCTTTCCCCAGACATAGATGTACAGGCAGGTTTGGTTTGCCCCCTCCCTACAAAGCTTTGGGTTTGAGCCCATGGGCATGGCTATATCCACAACTGCTGCTGTTCAGGGTACAGCTGCAGGACTGGGACCTTCGCAACCTCCACTTCACAAACCAAATGGGGTGTCTGGCTTTCATTCGCAATTAATTCAGGCGATTGGTCTCATACACAGCAGGTTTGGTGCCTTCATGGCAATGCATGTGTCCAAATTAGCTATAAATCATGGTTTTCTTAAATGGGCACTATTTCAAAGAATCCAAAGCAACTGGTATCGGGAATTCACGTACATGGCATATTGTAAATGTGTTCAGGCTTGAATTTGAGCTGTGAGGGACAAGAGAAGCAAGCCAATGGCATTCATATCATCCCACAGTCCTGACCCGGGTGGAGCCACCCCCTGCTACTGGACAGAGGGGCAGAGCCCCTGTATCATCAGCCTTAGCTCAATTCTCCTAGGACACCACAGAACCCAGCACAAGATGTGAATGCACTGGTAATCCGTCTCTGGACCATAAAATGATTCAGTTTTTAAAGGCATCAGTGCCAGGCCATAGAAGGCTAGAGAGACTGCACATCCCTTCCAGCCCCTGGCAGGCTGGAGATGGAGCCTGGAATAACTGTTGGATGGGAAACGGCCATTTCCAAATAATGCATCCTATTAAACCACTGTGATCGGAAAACTTAAGAAACAGCATCTTAAAGGAAGCGGTTTTGTTTATTGAAGGGGATGAAGAAAAAGCTGTTTTGTATGAGGGTGACTAAGCGTGGGGTGTGACCTTAAAATTTAGAAACATGTTGACATATGTTTCCTGCCTTGGCCACACTGGCTCACTATGCAAGAAATCACTGGCTGAAGCTCACCATGGCAAATATGCCAAGAGTGGGAATTTTCCATCTTGACCTGTAATGGCAAAGATGTTACAATCTTCTCTGCCTACATCAGTTTGAAAGAGCGGCCACTCCTGCAAGCACCATGAGCTCCATTTCTGGTGCCATTCATCTCCCACACAGCCTGAAACTCAATGAGTGGGAAACATTTATTTCTCGTATGGACACAACAAGAGTCAGCCCACTTCCCAATATCCAGCTGGAGCACTGGAGATGGGAATCCACTCTGTCCTCTTACTGAGGACACAATCTGAGAGGAGTCTCGAGGTAATGTGGCACTGAGTCTTTCGGTGATGGTGACTCAGAGCTGAGGTTTGCGGAGTCTTACCCAGTACTCACATTTTGCAGGAAAATGTGCTGCACATTTCTGGTCACACACAGTGCTGATGTGATCAAGCAGTGTCTGTGCCATCTAAGATCATGTCTGCAGGAAGCCTTACACCACCATGGCCAGGAAAAACCTCTGCTTTACTTCCCAGTTTCATTTCCAAGATGACAATCCATTTTCAAGGAGGGTGTGTTTCAAGACACCTCTGCACCAGCAGCAGTCTCATGGTGCAGGACATCACCCTGGACTTTAACCCCCTTCAACTTTGAGATTGCACATTCTCTATTAAAGCTGGTTTGTGAAGCCAAAATACATTCATTATGTTCCTCAAACATAACAAGAGATATTTTCTTCTGTTCCCACCCTTGAAATGAGAAAAGCTTAAAAGTTTAAAAGATGGGAAATTAAATGTTCCCTTTGAATTTGATAACATACTTTCCAGGCAGCTCTTATTAGGGGGCTAACACAGAACACATATCAGGGAGGCTGCAGAAGCATGCTGGGAGGGTGTAGCAGAGGGAAGCAATGGTTTTGTCGGGGAAAAGCAGTCCCCACACTAAGTTTGACTAGTCTGGGATCCATCAGGGCAGGAGCCATGGGGTGCATTGCTCCTCGGAGGCATCCTCTTCCCTGCGAGGCCACCAAGGTGGACTGAGACCCACAGTCCAACCGGTGCTTCCCTCTCTCTCTCTGCCCTGAAACACATCCCCATCCCACTGCTGTGCCCCGGCTGGGCTGCACCTCTCACTGTCACTCAGGCAGCTTTTGGCAGGACATCCAACCATCCTCATTTCACCCCAGCTGCCTCTGCCTTCCCCCCTCAGCTGCTCACCAGGATGACAGCTATAGGCCAAATCCTCCCTGCCCTCACCCTGGCACCACAAAAACCCGGGCTGGCATTCCCACACCAGCGCTGTGTCTTGCTCTGATCCCAAAGCAGGATCATTGTCAAACTGGGATAGCAGCTTCTGGCAGAAGCTTCCAGCCTCTCACCCTGATTTCATCCCAGGCTTCCCAAGAGCAAGCTGTGACCCTGCTGAGCAGGACAGCCCGTCTGCCCTCCATAACTGTCCGCCTTTTAGGAATTGTACCAAGAGGTCTGAAACTCAATGCACTAAAAGCTCTCTCACTAGGGATTTTGACAGAATAGAATGTGGTTTTCCTAAAGCTTCCTACTTCTGGGGACCACAAAGTTATGCAAAAATACCAGCTTTCTTTTGAAAGAAAAAACATCGTCCCAGCTTTTATGGAGAGGGCAAAAATGTTTGAAAACAAGCCCCCTTCAACACTTTTTTTTCAAACCTTCTAGAAAATTAAACCGATGTGCCTACCACACAAGAAAAAGAAATCTTCATGATTTTTATGCCAGTTTCTTGGTTTCTGAGTGCTCGGGAGGGGAAAGATCATACTGTATTTTCTTCCCATTTAATCAAGCCACTTATTTTTTTTTGCCTCTGTGCTCACATCCAGACTTTGGGTCAGGACCTCCAAAAGGCTGTGCTGTTGTCATTTTTGGTTACTTGAACAACTAGTTTGAAATAGGAAAAGCCACAAAGGAAAAACAATTAAGAGAAATAAGTTATGGCAAACAATTTCCAGATTCCCCAGTGCCATCCCTTTAAGAAGCCCTGGCTGCTGTGCCCAACACCTTGAGAGCCCCAATGCAGAAACCAACATTTGTTTGTACTTCTGAGGGGTGGATTCATCAAAAACATCTGCTTATGAGAGAAGAAGTCAAACCCTATTGATGCAGAGCACTGCTTGAGCGTCAGTTTTGTACAAGATCAGCCAATCTCTCAGCAGAAGTGCTCGAAATTTGTGGGAGAGGCCCATTTTGAGTGGGAGGAAGAAGGGCAGCAGAAGAGTCTTTGGACACTTGGAAAACACAGACCTTTCCATTTGGGAAAGGGCTATGGTAAGACACAGTGCCTGCTTAGGCAAATAAATCATCCTACTAATCTCTTTCCATGACTCAAAGCAGCCAGCACTGCACATCAAGAGGCCAGGCAAGGCAAGGTGAGGCAGCCTGCCCATGGCACAGTTAAGGTCCATGGCTCTGCCAGATGGTCAGCACCACTAGGAAGTCGGGAGAGCTCAGGAAATTTTAGACAGTGAGGATGGGTTTAGGATCCATTCCCTGGGTCATGACAGTCTGGCAGTGGAATCAAGGGTGGTAGGTTGGCCAGAGCATCCCCAATCCCTGGAGCCTGCTGAGCATAACAACCTCCTTGTGAAAGCCAGGCTACTATGTAAACACAGACAGACGAATGTCAAGGGACCAAGGTTTCTGTGTAATCTGAAATTCATCCTCTGACTGCCTCCATTCACACCAGAAGAGAGCCTGCCCACACATTTATCCACAACGCAGTACTGAAGCAACAAAACAAACACTAAGAGGTCAGTAATAAGTAAATAGTGTTTTTCTGAATGTTATTTACACCAGACACCATGGATCTGTGCATCTTTCAA